ATCCCTCTCCCTCCCCCCAAAACCTTAGGACACGGGAACAGAGGCCCAATGGAGGGGATCACCCCCTCTTTGCACCTCAGCCCTTGCCTTAACTAATTTTGTATGATCTCTTCTTCTCCCCTTTCCTTTTCCTTCCCTTCTTTACCCTCTTCTCCACTTATCCTAATCGTTAACTCATTTTTACCCTTTTTGCCACAATACTTTATCATTTACCATTAACCATGAACCATCTCCCTCTTCCTCTTCCTTTCCCTACCTCTCCCTCTCCCTACCTCCCTCCCTCTCTATCTCCCTACCTTCCACCTCCCTCTCTCTCTCCCACCCTCTTTCTCTCCTATTTCCTCTCTCTTCCTCCATTTCCCTCTCCCTCTCTGTTTGCCTACCCCCCCCCCTCTCTCTCTCTCTCTCTCTCTCTCTCTCTCTCTCTCTCTCTCTCTCTCTCTCTCTCTCTCTCTCTCTCTTCCTCCTTTTCCCTCTCCCTCTCTCTTCCTCCTTCTCCCTTTCCCTCTCTCTCCCTCCATCTCCCTCTCCCTCTCTCTCCCTCCATCTCCCTCTCCCTCTCTCTCCCTCTCCCTCTCTCTTCCTCCTTCTCCCTCTCCCTCTCTCTTCCTCCTTCTCCCTCTCCCTCTCTCTTCCTCCTTCTCCCTCTCCCTCTCCCTCGCCTTCTCTCTTCCTCCTTCTCCCTCTCCCTCCCTCTCCCTCTCCCTCTCCCTCTCCCTCTCTCTCTCTCTCTCTCTCTCTCTCTCTCTCTCTCTCTCTCTCTCTCTCTCTCTCTCTCTCTCTCTCTCTCTCGCTCTCGCTCTCGCTCTCGCTCTCGCTCTCGCTCTCGCTCTCTCTCTCTCTCTCTATATATATATATATATAAATATATATATATATATAGAGAGAGAGAGAGAGAGAGAGAGAGAGACATACACACAAAAAGAGAGACGGAAACAGAGACAGAGAAAGACGCAGACACACAGAGAGACAGAGTTGATTAATTAATTTAGTTTTATTTCATTTGTTACAATGGATATTCTCGATATGACATGCTGTCTGTTTTATTTTGCTTCTAAATAACCACCCGTGTGCAAGGAATGGTCGGGGTTACCATCCACAGGCGGCGAGGGATTTGTCAGCATGGTTGCTGCACCACACGGAGAGAGAGAGGACAGTGTGAGAATGTGACAAGTTGAGAAAGTGACAAAATGACAAAACACTTGTAACACTTGCTGAATGTCTTTTAATACCCAGAGTTTAAAATCAGACCTGAGAGAGAGAGAGAGAGAGAGAGAGAGAGAGAGAGAGAGAGAGAGAGAGAGAGAGAGAGAGAGAGAGAGAGAGAGAGAGAGAGAGAGAAGGAATACGATTTTTTTATTTTTCAAAAAGTATTAACGTTTGTGAAAGGATGGGAAAAAAAACGTCGACATGTATCACATTAGTAACCGGTCTTGACCTTGACTTCGACTGGAGTGCAACACTTGCTACCTATTTATAGCATCCTGTTAATCTTGAATTCGTTTTACGAAGAGGAGCCAAAGACTTTTCAAGAAAATTTCGCCAGTTCTCGCAAGTCTTTTGATGACTGTCTGAAATAAATTTTAATAATTCTAATAGATAGGTCAAACAGACTATAAATATATTTTGTGAAGAAGGAGAGAGAGAGAGAGAGAGAGAGAGAGAGAGAGAGAGAGAGAGAGAGAGAGAGAGAGAGAGAGAGAGTGAGAGTGAGAGACAGAGAGAGAAAATGGAGTTACTAGACGAAAACAACCGTGTGCATCCTCAAACTCTCTACAACACACACTATTAGCAGAATATTCGATTGAATTAATTAATAAAACGCAAGTTAGTTACGTCCGGTGTCTCTCTGGAGGTCTGAGTTGCAGATTTGTTCGGACACGTTGGTCGGGGATCCGAACGGTTTGTCCGAATGGTTTACTCATCCGTCCGAGTTGTCCGAACGCAGCATCAGCTCTCGGCTCAACCAAATCTTTTCTTCTCCCCACCCCCCCCTCACTTTCCATCTCTTCTCCAACCCTTCCTCTGATAACTTCCTCCTGCATCCAGATACGCCAGGGTCTGCCACTTTCCCGATGCATACCCCTCCTCCTTCTCACTTCACTTGTCGCCACCTGGTAATCTAAATGTTCCGCCCCATCTTCCTCCACATTCTCTCCTACGCCCACCCCTTGCTCTGCTCCTTGGCCATCTGTCTCCTCTTCTTTTCGTAAAAAAAAATCTTCGTTTCTCAGATCTCTCCACCCAATTCCCCTCCAGAAACTCTTGTGGAAATTCAGACTTCTTAAAACTGACCCAAGAGAACGCTCCGCTGCATCATCCGCCCTCCAATCTCACTACTCCCATTTGCTTTACATTCAGAGTGACTGCTGACATCCATCTTCACCCTCCTCGTGTTCCCCCTCCCCTTCTCTCCCAACACACCCCTTCTTCCCCTTTTCCATCCGCACCCCATTCATCTTCTTTCCTCATTACCACTTCATCTCTTTTCTGGAGGCTCACGTGATTCCGTACTGTCACAAAGTGTCCTTCTCCGAACCCTCCTTTCCCTCCTGACGTTTTTCCTTGTACTGCACCTCCTTCTCCTGGTCCCTTCCACTTCATTTCTACCTTAACTGTCCCTTGTTTGCTTCATAATGGTTTTCCTGCATTGTGTTCCTTGTGCAATGTTCCTCTTCCAATCTAACACGTTCAGCTGTCCTATACTGCAGACCGTGCCTCTGCTTTTCCTCACTCGTCCTCTTTTCCCCGCCCCCCCCCCCCCCACACACACACACAAACCTGCCGGACATTCTCATGGTATCCCCCACTTTTTCCTCTGACAACTGTTCTCCTTCCTCAGACGCACCGTCGCTTGTAACTTTACCCTATTTGCTGCTCCTCTCTACCC